TACACGAAGTGTGAACTTAATATGCCATAAGCAGGAGTAATCAAAAGAAGGTGTCAGAATTGTAAGCTTCAATGCAGTAACCATAACAGGCATGAGCTTATATTTATGTATCCATCAAGACAGCTGAAAATAATCCAGATTCAGAGTCAATATAATCCCAGATGCAACTTTTTCAGCAAAGTAAATCATCAAGCAAACCTGGCAGTTTTATTCTTGAACTAAAGGTACCTTAGAAAGCCTTTGAATACGTAAAGCTGCAGCTTCATGCACAACAATTGCATCAGATACTACTTCCAGTACGTCCTCAACCAACAAAGAGTAGGTGCTCACCTAAAACGTAACAAGTATGTGTTTAGATGAGCTTACTTCTGTGTTAAAAACAAATTATAATCAAAATATGAGAACTTTTGGAAGAAAAAAAAACCCTAAAAATAATGAAAATCCAAAACATGCTCTAAATATTATAAATTTGTACACAAACCCTTAGGAGCACTATGTCATTAAGGTTAAGCAATTGTGCCTGGATTGGTAACAAAAGATCTGGGTGGCTCCAGGATTCCGAATCTAGTGAGACTAATAACTATTATAAGTTGAATATATGATAATTATAAATGCTTACAGCTTACCCTGCTGTTTAAGCTGTGCTTGAACTATTGCGTGGAAGACTTCTCAATCTCATACAAGACAAAAACTCATGCTTTTGGTCCCTACCCTCACATGCTTTTATTCTCAATTGAATCCCTCACATAAATTTATCCAATTTAGTCCACTCAATTATCAAAATTAGCCAAAATTTAATCCCTTTATTAACTCACCATTAGTAAAAAGGATTAATTTGTCTATACATATATTAATTTACATCTCAGGAAGCATTATTCAATATTCACCTCTCAGGCAATTTCATCCTCACTCAATACTTGAGATGAAACTTCTTGGTTGCAATTGAATTCCCAGGTTGCTGACTCTAAACCAACAATAAACCGCTAAATTCAACAGAAGAAATGAGTACTAACAAAACTAATGTTGAAAGTTCCAACCCTTTGTTACCAAATGGCATTGGGGAATTAAATTTGGAGATAGGTGAAGGATGGAGAGGAAGTGGTCTAGACTCTAGAGGTAAGAAGAGAGTGCAAAAGAGGAGGTTGGCAGCGCAAGGTTATTGATATTGGTGGTCTTTGAGTTTGCACCACAAGAAAAGGTGAGGATGAGAACTATCATTAAAGTTTTGGTGCGCTATCAGTAAGGTTGGCAATGAAATATTCCTTTCCTTTGTATTAGCAGTCTTTAAAAGGCTGTCAATATTCAATAAGCAATTAGATTTGTTCTCTCATTTTAGTTAGTCTTAGAAAGGTCTCTGTCAAGCACAAGTCTGCTTCTCTCTATGTACGATAGATTGCAAGAAGGATTCTTCTGTGTCCAAACTTGTGAGTAGATCCTAGGCTACAAACCAAAGCCACCAAAACAAAACAAAACCAAGAGGTGTCATAGAAGGCACACCCAAAGATCAAACTGAGGTCAGAACAAAATCAAGAAGAGCCAACACACAGTGATGGACACCAGAATGTCATTTCAGCTTGAATATTGAAAACGTTTAGGATGAGTTGCTAGAGGTGTCGAAGGTCATGAATCTCAGAAATCTGGAGGGAAAAAAGAAACAGACAAGTGAACTTTAAATTAAATTGGGACACACTAAATTAAATTGAAGAGTTATGAAAATAAAGTAGAGCTCCTGAGTTTATAGAGCTTGATAGAAGAGTAGAGGCAGGACAAGTCAAGAGATAATAAGCAAATATGGAAACTAATTCTAAGAGATAAGCTAAGAAACTCTAAAATATTCTATGATAAAATATTAAATATTATGAGATATTTTTCATACAGTCTAACAAATTATTTGTTACTGTTTGTTAAGTGAACAAGCAGAAATTCATTTCATTAAAGGGCCATATTAGAGTCAAACTACTTTTTGGGAGACCACCAACATATAACCAGTATGAATAAGTTAAGACTTGGAAATTTGGCAGGTGGGGGGATCATAGCTCCTCTGTTCCCCTCCTCCACCCGAGCAGAAGATACATATTTCCAATTGACAAATCGTGTAAGCAATCTCTAGTTCTGTACTTGTACTATTAACCTTACAAAGAAGCCACCCACTTACCAAACTTGATGGAATGATGGATAGCCCAAATGAATCAAGTTCAAGTTCTTCAACAGCACCTGAATTGATGCTGAAAGTGTAGCCACGCACCTAAAAGTTATGATTTCCATGATTACATAATGGAGATAAATAAATTGGTGAAAAACAACATGGTGCAAGAGATATATAGTCACCTTTCCAATATTCCGTCGAGAGGGTGTTACAACTTTGTATCCAACCTAGCAAATACAGATAAATCAAGACATCCCCTAACTTGTGTAAATTTGAGAGACATGACAAACAAACCAAGATTGATGCTAGAAATCTATGGAATCACTTTCTATATAACTATTTGAAAAGGGTGAATGAGAAGGTTGACGAAAAAAAAAAATACATAAAGGTAGTGGAATTCTAGGTAAAAGTGTCGAAAACTAGATGTCCATAAAAGAGCACTTTTAAATTTTCATATTGATAACTGGTCCCAACTTCCCAAGTCATTTACTATTAAGTAACTGAATCAACTATCATTTATGTAATTGAATCATCTATCATTTACAACATGATAAATAATTATAAAAATAAATAAATAACAAGATCTGGAAATGGTCTTTTCACAACATTTTTTTTTATACCTTCTGATCACATTAAACTTGATCAACTACGGAGAACCAATTTTTATTTTTAACTTTCAGCACTTTGAATCATGTCTGGCTTCTCTCTCTAGTCTCTATCTCTCTTACTTATGAGTTATGACAGCTCAAAGCATTGATGATGAAATTCAACGTACTTTGTAAGTCACATCTGCTAAACTCCAAATGTTAGTACTTAGTTTAATGACTTTGTGATTTCCCTATTCACCAAAAAAATAATAATAAAATTCAACCTACCCAGATGGCAATTTAAATGCCAAATTCATTTTGAAAAATAAAATAAAAATTCATTGCAATTACACAGTGTCAAGTTATGAAGCACCCTAATGATGTGAACCCCAGAGGTATACACTTATCTGTTTCTTTCAGTGATCAGTGATGTTCCTCCAATTTATCAATCAACTAGGTAATCTTATCTAGTTGTGGTGTATCAAGAGGTTCTTAATTTGCTAAGCAATAAGTTGTGGCCTTTTTACTCTTATTTGAACACCACTGAAAGAATCAATTAAGTTTGTAGTTCTCAAAGATATTCTTTATTCCAATCCACCTTGAGCAGTAGGTTTGGCCTTATCTATACATTATTTGTGATAACTAATAAAGAAATTTGAATCAAATCCTAATAAAGTTTACAAATTACTTCTGTAAGTCGTCCAATAGGTACTTGGATAGGATTAAGATGTATGCTAAGAGTGCTAGCCTTGTCATGATCACCTAACTCCACTACTAATGTAGTAATGTTAGCTATAAAATAAAATTTTATTTTGCAATTAGATAAACCAATCTAAGGATATATTGAACATGTTCAAATAAAAGTTTTTGAGATTAACATTCATAAATTTTCAAACATTGAAATTTACTCTTCCGCAAGAAGGAAAAAGAATATTCAGAAGAGGAGAGATTGCATTCTCCTAACTAAATCCATAAAGAAACATCTGAAAACATGAAATCATAACAGAGATCACATCCACATAATTTATAAAGCATGGAAAGAAAGTCTATTGGTACACCCAGATATTTTAAAGTTTAAACAATATTAATATTTCCTCTAAGGCAAGATTTCAGTCTTTGCATGAAAAATTATTAATCTGCACTGCTTCAGTAACACATCAGAGTTTGAGTACCACATAATACGTATAGTTAAAGACAACTTCTTATCCATATTCTGCCACACGATGAACTCAAATAATATGTAAAAGAAAATAATTCACGAGTTGTTTAAAACAGTAAAACATACCAGTGTCTCCAATCCAATCATTTTAAATTCATTGTCTATCACACTTTCATCCTGGACAAGGACAACATCTCCAACCTAAGAAAAGGAACAGGCAGAATACTCAATATAGTGAAATACCCGAGAAGTCACTTACTGGCAAAGCAACAAGGTAAACTGTTCATGCCATCTGAACACAGAATGCATTGGAAATTGCGGGGAAAAAACTCTCCAAAAGTGATATAAAGCAATCGCAAAAGTAAGTTAAGTATGTCTGAAGCTAGTAATAGTATACCCACATTCAACTGAGAATAGAGTCAATCCTAAAATAACCTCTCCTGATTCCAAACTCCTTATACCTGACTAATATCCTCCAGAAGGAATTTTTCTGAATCCCCAGAAAGCAAGTTTGGCCGCACCTCCACAAACAACACCATCCACTGAAAAAGAGTCCACCAAAATAATAAATCCATAAACTTACAAACTTCTTAGTCCCACAAACAGACATCATACCAACAAAACAAATACCACTAACAAATTCCAAAAACTACTAGCACTGTAGACACATGCTAGCAAAACAAAGATTCAGCAACTACTTTCAAGACTCACAGAGGTGGTGTCCACCCAAAGCTGCGAGACAAACCCCAAGCTAAGGGCAGAGCGAATGCTGATCACCTGCTTGGCCAACAAATTCGACCTTCTCACTACCTGTTTACCTCTTCTCACTCTGAGTTTCCCTCCAAAATTCTCAATCTCACCTTGATCATCCTCTTTCTTCAAAACATCCCCATCCCCATCGCCCTGAACCCTAACCAAATCATCCTCTCCCTTATCATGATCGTCAACACCTTCCACCCCATCAAATGAGAGAGACCCAGTTTCCGGGGGGGAATCTTCACCAACAACAGGGTTTCTCTCCAACCCTAAAGTCTTCTCCTTTATGTCCTCAAACTCAAGTTCGTTGTAAAAGCCGTGACCCCTTGATGGGCCTTCATTCGACCGCGAGCTCAGTGCCAAAGAGACGCCCCTGTTGTTATTGCAGCTGGTTTTGAATGGTTTGGGAGAAAAGGAGACACGGGAATTTGGGATGAGTTGAGTTCTATTTGAGCATGAATTGAGAAATGGGTATCTTGGAGATTCTGCAGCTGAAATGGTAAGAGGGTTTGTGGCCAGAAGATCAGTCATAGTGAGGTAGGGAGAACAGAGAGAGGGAGTACAAAAGCAGAGGCAGAGCCCCTTGCTGCACGCATGGATGCAAGTTTTACAGCATTAGAATTGGAGAATATGGTGTGTTGCTTGTGTTGAAGGCAGAACCAGAACGGATATGAGTGAGTAATGTATGGAGAGGGTGCAGAAGGAAACTAATGAACAAGGGGAAGGATGTGGAAAATTATTCTTGTAGATAGAAAAAGGAATTTTGAAAGGACATCTAAATGGGATTATAGGAATGGATATTTATGTACATTTTTATAACAGTTAATCACCTGGTGAAAATTTTTTTTTTCCACTGATAATCAATTAAAGTCGTTAATAATATTTTTTTATATATTTATTTAATTAAATTAAAATAAAAAAAAATATTATTAATGGCTTTAATTGATTTGTAGTGTAAAAAATTTTATACTAACAATATATAAGTAATTAACTCTTTTATAATTATTAGAGTAAATAATTTTTTTTATTAAAAATATAAATATTTATAAAGAGAAAAATAACAGGTTATGTGAAATTTTGATGAAAAAGGAAATTGTTTGTAAACGTAATTAATGTCAAATTCGTGTTGACATGTTTTGTGTCATAAATTTTTAACATATTAAAAATATTTCTTTTCTTTTAATTAGAGGAGTCGAGACATTTTGTATCTTTAATAGTTATATACAAATATAATATTAAAAAGTTGTGTATAGTTAGTTATTCAAAGATGATATATAAAAAATTTATATCAGAAGGGTATAATGATCCACTAAAAATAGAGACCAAAAGCGGTTACATGTTCTTATATCCCTTTTATAATAGATATAGATATAGTTTTAAAAAAAATAGTAATATATCTTTGATATATTTTCTATTACTTGAACATTAAAAAATATATAGGTCTTAATTTTATTTAACGAGTCTGAATTTATAATTTTTAATAAATTTTAATTGATGATAATGTCTTGCATGTCTCTTATAAATGGAAGATAGTTGAATAATTTTTTTTTCTTCATATTTATGCATCTTTACAAAAAAATAATATTTTTAATATATTTTTTAAAATAATGTCAGATCAATAATTAAATATTTTTTTTTTTATTTTTATAATAAAACTTTCATATAAGTTATTGAATAAACCATCAATTTTATGTCTCGAGCTTTGTCATATCTTTTAGTAAGCTTCTCAAGAATATGAAAATAATAATAATTTTTAAAATTTGAACATATGGCGTGATAGTCTCTATTGTTAATCAAATTCATTTTAAGGATATTAAGTGTCAAGTTACCACATTAGTATTATGTTGTGAACAAAGTAAAGAGGGTGAGAAGGGAAGAAAAATTTTAATTTTAAATTATAAAGAAAGCGAAAAGAAGGAAAATTTTGATTTCTTGTTTCTTGAAGTTAACTTTTTTTTTCTTCCAATCAAACAAAAAAAAATACATTGTTATATGTTTTATTTTTCTTCCTATTTTCTTTCCTTCCTACTAAACATATAATAATTGTCACTTTGACCACTCATTCTTTTTCTTATATGCGTATTAATTCTCCATTCTTTTCCTCAAGACACTTTAGTTTAGTACTTGATTAAAAAAAGCCTCGAATAATTGTTTATGCACTAGTGTTATGTCTCCAAAGTATCAAATGGTTCTATATGTCTCAAGTCAGCATTTAACAGTTTTTTCTACTACTAGTTGGCACCATTAGTTCCTTTCATTAGTTTCTCCGAGTGTCAATGTCATTAACATGCATTAATCCCAAATGCCTAAAACATTACAAAATTTATGCTAAGAGAGATAGTAAGGAAGTGTCCATTTTTAGTCGGTGATGAACATTGAATATTAGGGTTATTGTTCTATTGTCACATAATTTAGACAAGCGGTAAGGTATATGTTTAAATAAACAACTATTATTTACATATTGTGTATTGTTAATAACTTTTCAACTTTATGTTGTTCCTTCTTTATAAATGAGTTTACTTTATAGTTGATTGTCTTCCTAAAACTAATTCTCATGCTATATAAAATTGTTTTCAATGATTTTTTACATTATTTTACATGTGAAAAATTATCAAGGGACCAATGTCTTAAAGATAATATAGAAATGATTAATATGTAAAAAGTCTCAAATGTGAAGTTAGCAGAAAAATACATAGAAGAGGGTTGAATATATGTGTGTGCGAAGGAATTTTAAAGACATTTTTGCAAGAGTAATATACTTCGTCCAATGCACTTTCGAATATCAGACGGTTAGGCATAATTTGGTTAACACAAGGTCATTGCGTCTGAAGGGTTTATCGTCTGCTGAGGAAAATGGTTTATAATAATAATTATTGAAGTTCTTATGTTTTCCTTTTTAAGATAGTTTCATTTAAAGACAAGCAGTAGATAAAACTTTTCAGTGTAATATATTTGTTAAATGAAATTGCGTCTTAGCCTGAAAAATGGTTTTAACGATATGTAAATATTGGATGAAGTCTTTCACAAAGATTTAATCAGTAAAGAAGATTTGTTCCTAGTTGAATAAGAAAAGCAATGCAATCATTTTATACTGGTTCACTCAACTGAGCTACGTCCAGTCTCCTTCAACTGAAGGGTTCCACTAGATATAAAAATGAAGAACATTGAGTATTATCGTCCACTCCTGGACCTGAGTATTCTCGACCACTCTTGGCCCGATGACATCACTCACCAATGCTAGTATTCTTAAATCACTTCTAGTTTTTCAAGTATTCTTGACCACTCCTGGCTCGTTGGCTTCACTCACCACCGCTAGTATTTTTAAACGACTTCTGGTTCCCAAAGTATTCTCGACCACTCCTGGCCCGTTGGCTTCACTCACCAATGCTAGTATTCTTAAACCACTTCTAGTCCCCCAAGTATTCTCGACCACTCCTGGCCCGTTGGCTTCACTCACCAATGCTAGTATTCTTAAACCACTTCTGGTTCCCCAAGTATTCTCAACCACTCCTAGCCCGCCAGCTTCACTCTCCGGCGCTAGTATTCTTTGTTCAGCCACTTCTGGCTCTCAGTGAGTATTCTCGACCAACTCCTAGCCCGCCAGCTTCACTCACCGGCGCTAGTATTCTTTGTTCAGCCACTTCTAACTCTCTTTGACAAGCCCCTCTGAGCTATACAAGTATTCTCCCTAGCCTCTTCAGGCTTTACAATGTTAGACGTATAATCTGGTTTGAGTGTTTGGTTTACTCTCCTAGAGAGGATACATAAGTTGGTACACTCACTAAGGTTTTGTTCCTAAGATACACATGTTTTGAACTCCTTAGTTTACAGAGATGAATACATAATGGCATATTTGACTCTATACGCTCTATCTTTGGTTTCGTTGCATCATGGGCTGGATATCACTCTTTTTCTTGCTTGAACCATCTTTGGGCCAAATAGTCAACCATTTGTTGAGACCTCTATATAGTCTTGTAAAATCTTCCCGTTGCAAGTGTCCGTTGAAGCAGATATAGTCGTTCACGACTAGTTTGATCTTCTCATTTAATGCTCAGATTCTTGCATTAAATGTTGCCTCTTGTGATAGACCTTGCGTGAAGTGTTCTTTGTCTTGGTAGCAGCAGTGTCTAAGTTTAGCAGAGACCTAGGAACCTTTTTGTCCTTTTCTGGTCTTATAGCTGTGAAGTTTTGTCCTTGTCTGAAAAAGTAATGTATTTTTTCTAACACATGCATGCTTTTAGTTCTGCGCTTGATTCTCTCCTTTCCTCTTTTCTTCTTACAATTTAGATGACTTCATGTGTTCTCTTGTGAGTGTGGATGATATTCAAATTGTCCTTTGAAGCTTGATTCCTCAGGTGATTGCGTGACAATTTTCATTTGCGTCTGGTAGTCTATATGTAGCTCAAACTTTGACCTTTGTCTGAGCATTTGTCATTAACGTATTGACTTTTCCTTTCGTCTGGTCAACTTGTATATGGTCAGACTTTCAATTTCTTCTGGAATTTCTTTTTGGTCGTTGACCATCTTCCGTCTGAGTCCTTATGTTTCGCCTTAGATTGTGCTTGACGCGCTTTTGTCTTGTTCTTCATTTTACCTGTTCTAATATTTTTCTGAAACACTAACACACTTATTAGAGATAACAACATGTATTATATTTGTCTCACTCAAAACCTTGTTGGGAGTTTCTTCGTCTGGCTTAACAAAATGCTTCCCTGTTGATAGTTTGATGTATGTTTAAATTTGTATTTATCCTAATATTATCTTACGTGTTAATGTTTTGGGGGAGATATTTGAGCATCCCAGGTATATATGGGTCATTAGAAAGTCATTGAGAAGGTCATGAGATATTTACAAGAAACCAAGAACCATATCTTGATATATAAGAAGTTCGATCAACTTCAGGTTATTAATTATTCTGATTTTGATTTTGCAAATTGCCTTGTCAACCAAAATTTTACCTTTGAATTTATTTTTATGGCAACAAAAGGAGTTATTTCTTGGAAGAGTGTTAAATAAACACTTACAACAACTTTTACCATGAAAGCAGAGTATGTTGCTCGTCAAGCCATGCAACTTAAAATTTTGATCTCTGACTTTTATATCATTGAAAGTATTTCTTGGCCACTTTTGATATATTACAACAATATTGTTGTTTTTTTTCTTCTCAAAACAATAGTTTTTCTCATACAAAGCATTGTGATGTTAAGTACTTGTTCATTAGGGAGGAAATTATGAATTTTCAAACTCAAATAGAACATCTTTCAATGAAGAAGTGTTAGCATATTCACTAACCAAAGCCTTAACTATTGGAGCTTTTTTGGAAACATGTAGCTCATATAGGTGTAGTTGAGGTTTTTTATTATGTATTGGGTTAATGGGAGTCTAATTTTATGTATTTCTATTATTAAAAGATGTATTTTTTTGTCATTTTAATAATATATCTCTTATAACATTTTTAGATGTTGGAACCATTGTTGAAGTGCATAATTTATTTTATTTCTTAAATTATGTTATTTCATGATATTAGAATTGTGAGTATTTAGCATGTATAATATATGCATCCTCAGATATCATTCTCTATTAATTAAAGCTTATGTTTCTTATATTGTTGATTGACATATGTTTTTGTAGTAATTATCATTTATTCTTAATGTTTATTATATTTTAATAATCAATTAATAATATTCAAACCGGAGAATGTTAAAAATATTTTAATTATAATTGATTAGTATTAAATAATAACTAAAATATGATTCAATTATCATTAATCAACAAT